CCCCTCCGACTCCCCCGCCCCCGCCCTTCCCAAGCGGGCTCCGTGCCGGCCCCGCTGCTCGGGCCCTGCTGGAGGTCCCGCTCCGACTCTGTGGCCTTGCCCGTGCCCCTTGCACCGACTCCAGCCCTTGACGGCCGGCCGAAGAAAACCCGGCCTTGGCACCCGGGTCCTGTGAGAACCCAGAAACTGGCCCAGCAAAACGAGCAGGCGCTGGGGCCGTGGAGGCAGGGAGAGCCACCAGCACAACTACAGCAGTTTAGGGAGCCTAGGAGAGCTGGGCTAAGATTGTGCCCTGTGCGGACATGCACATCCAAATGAAAAGGGACCTCTTCCCCTAGAGCAGGGGTTGGCAACAGTTTGGGGCAGAGTGCCAAAACCCCCTGCAACCTCAACTTGTTGGCGTGCCAGGGGCAGGTGGCAGCGGAGCAAAAAGGGGTCTGGATCCCTGTTGTGGCCGCGCAGCCCTGACCCCTTTCCCACTGCCCATCTCAAGGTGCGCGTGCCAAGCAAAACACCTTTGAGGGCCACGCTCTGGCACCTGTGCTACGGGTTGCTGACCGGGCTGTAGAGCTTCCACTGGCTCCAAAGCGCACGAGGTTTGACGAGAACAAGTTGGATGACAGCAGCAGCAAGAGGGGATTCAAATGGCTCCTAGGAGTATCTGGGACCTCTTGAGCACAGATTGACATTTTACAGAAGCAGGAGGTTGTTGGCTGCCCTGGTTCCCCTGCTTCACCTGTGGCAGGTCAGGGTGTTAGGTCTGCGTGCGTCAGGACTGAGGGTAGTCTTAGGTAGAGTTTTTTTAGAGTATGGTTATATGTGACAGTTTGGAGAGGGATGATCCTGCCTCAGGCAGAGGGTTGGACTAGAAGCCCTCAGGAGAAGCCCTACTTCTCTATGACACTAATGCCTATGCATTTTGGTGTCAGAAAACAGCAACTGCACATCCATTTGCCTGCGTCTCAGGCTTCATTTGCAGAGCTACAGAAAAAATAACAGCCAGTAATCTAACAAAAGAGGAAAAATGTATGCTAGCAAATAAAGTGATCGCCTGACTTTCAAATCAGGTGTTTCTGGTTAGCTGCTCATCTTTTTACCCTCCTATTTCTGTTCTGCTAACATATTATTTTATTTTATTTTTTGTCTTTAGAGTTAAATAAAACAAAAAAATGATAAATATGAGTAGTAAACACCCCATCAATTACTTTTAAGACTACAAAATAAACCCAGAAGATTTTAAAAAATGGACAGAAATAAATTAACTCAACTTACTCTGTTAAAAAGGTTGCTGTCTACCCACCAGCTACTCCAAGAACATAGTCTCAACATTTCCACCAAACTAAACCCCTATCAAACTATTTTTCCTTGCAACTCGTTGAGAAGTTCCCAAAATTATGGCTTTCAGACCATGGGAAAGTTGAAGTATCAGATTCCCAGGGCTCGTTCCCATACCTTATTAAGATATTATCCAATATTACACAATTAAATTTGGGCTACATTTTACAGCAAGCAAGAGAAAGGACTTTCATTCATGGAATGCCCTGCTCATGGTCTATGCGAGTGTCAAGGACTTCCTCCTAAAACCAGCAGGTATGCAGAGAATGTTCCACAGATCCCCAACACAGCAGTCCTGATGGCTATCCTTCCCCAGGCAACATAACTCCTGAAGGACTTGCGGAGATGCATCCTGTTCATGTTGCCTTGTAACATATTAGCCTATTAATTCTGCAGCACCA